GAGAAACAGAAGCCACACTGGAACAAACATTTCATGAAATCATTCAAGAAAACTTCCCTCATCTGATCAAGGATGAAAAAATTCAAACACAAGAGATTCAGAGAACCCCTGCAAGACAACAAATGAGAAGACCAACTCCCAGACACATAATAATTCACCTAAACAAAGTAGCTATAAAAGAAAAAATCCTAAAGGCAGCAAGAGAAAAAGGCCAGACTACCTACCAGGGAAGACCAGTTAGAATAGCAGCAGATTTATCCACAGAAACCCTTCAGGCTAGGAGAGTCTGGAGCCCTATCTTCAAAGTTCTGAAAGATAAAGAATTTCAACCAAGAATAACCTACCCAGCCAAACTAAGCTTCATTAGTGAGGGAGAATTGAAATCTTTTCCAGATATCCAATCCCTAAGAACCTATGCTGCCACCAGACCACCTCTACAAGAAACACTTAAGAAAGTACTGAACACAGAAGAAAAAGAAAAACAACAACAACATTCTTCGCTAGAGTACAGGCAAAAGATTAAAAACACACAAGAGCCAACTCCAGAACCCAAAGAAAGACAACAAACAAACAGGAACAACTCTGTAAGAACCTTATGACAGGGATCAACTCTTGCATTTCAATTATTAGCCTAAATGTGAATGGACTAAATGCACCACTGAAAAGACATAGAATGGCAAAATGGATGAAATATCATCAGGCAACAATCTATTGTCTTCAAGAGACTCACCTCACTAGAAAGGACACCCACAGACTCAAAGTAAGAGGATGGGAAACAAACTTTCAGGCGAATGGAATACAAAAGAAAGGAGGAGTAGCTATCTTAATTTCAGACAAAATTCCCTTCAAGCTATTAAAAATCAAAAAAGATACAGAAGGCCACTACATAATGATAAAAGGCTCAATCCATCAATAAGAATATCTATCCTAAGCATATATGCACCCAACATATGTGCGCCAACTTTCATAAAGCAACTTCTAGGAAAACTAAAGAAAGATATTGACTAACACCATCATAACTGGGGACTTTAGTACCCCACTCACAGCCCTAGACAGATCATCAGGACAAAAATTCAGCAAGGAGAACCGGAACCTCAATGTGACTTTGGACCAAATGGACTTAATTGATACCTACAGAACACTCCATCCAAAGACCACAGAATACACATTCTACTCATCACCGCATGGAACGTATTCTAAGATCGACCACATAATTGGCCATAAATCAAGCATAAGCAAATTTAAAAGGACCAAAATTCTACCATGCACCTTCTCGGACCACAGTGGAATAAAAATAAACATTGATGCCAACACGGTCCCCCCAAACCCCACAAAGACATGGACACTAAACAGCATGATGCTAAACAACTCCTGGGTCAATGATGAAATCAAAACAGAGATCAAAAGATACCTGGATACAAGTGAAAATGAAGAAACATCTTACCAAAATCTCTGGGATGCCTTAAAAGCTGTAGTAAGAGGGGAATTTATATCCCTACAAACACACGTGAAGAAAATGGAAGGAACACAAATTAACAGCCTAACAAGCCACCTAAGGAAGTTGGAAAAGCAAGACCACAAAAACCCTAATTTCAGCAGAAGAATCCAGATCACCAAAATGAAAGCCCAAATCCAGGACATAGAAGACAAAAAGATAATACAAAAAATCAATGAAACAAAAAGCTGGTTCTTCGAAAAGATAAACAAGATTGATGGTCCTCTAGCTAGACTGACCAAGAAAAAATGAGAAAAAACCCAAATAAGCACAATCAGAAACACAAAAGATGAAGTCACATCTGACCCTAAAGAAATACAAAAGATGATTGGAGACTACTACGTACACTTGTATGGAAATAAACTTGAAAACCTTAAGGAAATGGAGGACTTTCTGACATCACACAACCTACCTAGGTTGGAACAAGAAGAAACTGAGACCCTAAATAGACCAATAACAATCAAGGAAATCAACTACGTAATAAGAAAACTACTTACAAAAAAAAGCCCTGGTCCAGATGGCTTTCCAGCAGAATTCTACAAGACATTTAAGGAGGAGATGATACCAATCCTACTGAAGGTATTCCAGGCGATTGAAAAAGATGGAACTCTCCCCAAATCATTTTACAAAGCCAACATCACATTGATACCCAAGCCAGGTAAAGATCCAACAAAGAAAGAGAACTACAGGCCATATCTTTGATGAACATAGATGCTAAAATCCTCAACAAGATCCTAGCAAACCAGATTCAACAATACATCTCAAAAATCATCCATCATGACCAAGTAGGCTTCATCCCTGGGATGCAAGGTTGGCTCAACATTCGTAAAACCATAAATGTAATTAAGTACATCAACAGGTGTCAAAACAAAAACCACATGATTATATCATTGGATGCAGATAATTGATTAAAAAAAAAAAAAAAAGAAGAACTAGCCTTCTCCCCAAATGAAATAATGATGGGGCATAATTTTAAACCATGCATTTAAATAAATTTCAGTGGCATATTGTATGTAAATTAAAACCATCTACCCAAGGGTACCTGCATAATGAACATTTGTATACCTAACCTAGAGCTGTATCACACATATTTAATTAAAAACATTTATTAAATAAAAAAAGAAAGACACAATTTTGCAATAACTATGAGTATAAAAGATGCATTTATCTTTGACTCAATAGTTTTCCTTCTGAAAATGTTTATCATGAAAATACTTGTACAGTATACAAAGGTATAAATGTACACAAGTATTCATTGCAACATTGTTTGCATTAATGAAAAAAATGAGACTAAACTAAATGTCCATTATAAGAGGATGGGATAAAATAGCATATATTCATATATTGAAATCACATTCGGTTCGTTAAAGAAATAATAGTGGTCTACATGTGCTGAAATAAAATTATTTCCAAGTTTAACTTGTTGAGATTTTTGAAAAGTAAAGCTCACAATGGTGTGCATGGATTACTCTCTTTTTTGATAAAGAAAGATATATATGCAAATATGTGTGTGCAGAGGTAGACTGGCTTCATTGTTATACTCTTGTACTCAAACTTTTTGTATGAAGTGCATGTATTACTTTTTCAATAAAAAACATAATCTATAAAAAAAGTATTCACACATTTTTGGGCATCCCTGGTATTTTTGCTGGATATAGAATTTTGGCTGAAATTTCTTCCCTGACCTTTAATCATGTTGATGCTTTGCTTTTTCTGACCTCCATTTTTCATCTAAGAAATCAATCATAATCCATAACATTTTCCCACTTTAAGATGTATATAATGTATCTTTATTCTGTGACTGCTTTTAAGATTTTTTTCCCTTTTTATTCTTAGTTTTCAGCTATGTGCTATTCTTTTTTTTTTTTTTTTTTTGAGTTGGAGTCTCACTCTATCACCCAGACTGGAGTGCAGTGGCACACTCACAGCCACCGCAACCTTGACCTGCTGGGCTCAGGTGATTCTCCCACCTCAGCCTTACAAGTAGCTGGAACTACAAGTACACACTACCGTGTCTGACTAATTTTTTGATTTATTGTAGAGACAAGATCTTGCCACGTTGCCCAGGCTGGTCTCAAACCCTTGGGCTCAGGCAATCCTCTACTTCTGCCTCCCAAAGTGCTGGGATTGCAGGCATGATGTCTTATTTTTTGTACTATGGCATGCCTTGTTTGTTTTGTTTGGTACTTACTTTACGTAGGAGCTGCTGAGCTTGGATCTATAGGCTTGCTTTTAACCAAATCTTGGAAATTTTCAGCCATTGTTTCTTCTCATCAATTTTTGTGCCCTGTTTGTTCTCTCCTTTTCTTCTGAGATGCCAATTATAGTTATGCCAAACATCTTGATATTGTTCCACAGGTCACTGATGTTCTGTTAATTTGGGAGAATTTTTTATCTTTGTTATTCAGATTGCATAATTTTTCTTGACACATTTTTTAACTTAACACTTTCTGGTACCTTCAACCTGCTGTTAAACCCATACAGACATTGTTCTAAAGTCACCTATTTTTTTTTTTTTTCAGCGTCTGCTAAGGTCCCTATTTGTTCACTTACTGTATCCATGCTTTTCTTTCTCTTCAATATATATATAATGTTTATATATAAATATTTATAATATTTACTTATATGTAAAATATGTATCATATAAATATGCTGAGGACATTTTCTGCTAATTTCAATATCTGGCCTATCTCAGGGTAGGTTTTATTGATTGTTTTTTCTTTTGACTATTGGTTGCATTTTTCTTTTCTTTTTTTTTTTGTCTGTTCTTTTTTTGGTTTTTGTCATATACTGAATAGTGTGGGTGGTTGTAGACTTTGAGTTGTATAGTATTCCCTTGGTATATGGCATATCCCTTGGTTTCAGAATCTCAAACTTTGTGTACCAAAATTTGTGCATACGCAAGTCCTTCAGTTAGCTCTGCAGAACCCATGTATATGAAAAGGTGGCTCTCCATATAAGTGGGTTTCATATTCTATGAATACTGTATTTTTGATCTGCATTTGGTTGAAAAAGATCTGCATATCAGTAGACCCATGCAGTTTAAAACTGTGTTGTTCAAGGATCAACTCTATTATCTCTTTCCTAGGAGAAATGAGTGTTTTATTCTTTTAAAAATTGATTATATATAATAACAGCTTTATTAAGATATAATTTGCATGCCTACAATTCAGTGGTTTTTAGTATATTTACAGATAAGTCAACCATCACTATAGTTAACTTTAAAATGTTTCCATCACCTCAAAAACAAAACAAAACAAAACAAAAAAACACCTTGAACTCCTTAGCTCTTCACTTTCCCATCCCTGCGCTGTAAGCAATCTACTTTCTGCCTCTATAGATTTTTTATAATATGTGGTCTTTTGTTACTGGCTTCTTTTACTTAGCATAATGCTTTTAAGGTTTATCTATGTTGGAGCAGATTTCAGTACTTCATTTCTTTTTATGGCCATATAACGTTCTGCCATATGGATATACTACAGTTTTCTTATTCATTTATTGGTTGATGAATGGAGAGCTGATTTTTACTCTGAAAGGTAGTTAACTTAGCTAGATTCAGACTCTGAACTCTCACTCCTGCTAAATAAATACAAATCTCATCTGTTGATATCCTCCTTTTGACGATGAATACCACTGCAATTTCTGCATGTTCTTTTTAAAAATTTTTTATTTTAAAATTGTAGGGTACAATTCAGGGTTAGGTATACAAATATTCATTGTGCAGGTACCCTTGTTGATGTGGTGTGTCCCCCTTCCCCAGTGCATGTTCTTGACTGCTATCTAATGACTTTAAATAGCTGTGTTTATATTTTGCTCGGAATTTAGCATTGTTTTCTGTGTGACCATTAGTCAATACAATCTTCTCCACCATCATTGTGTGCTGAATTCACAGTGACTTGCGTTTCAGTTGACAACAAAGCTTATGAAGACTTCCATAGACTTACCTCCTTCAAATCTCAAAAACAGCTCCCTCTCCTTATTCCAGATAAATACCTTGGGTAAACAGAGAATACTACCAGTGATGTGAAGTCACTTCATCAATGTTAACTTAGAAGCTGAAATCTTAGAAACAGAGATTTTAGAGTTTGAGAAGTCTATTGCGGATGGAATTCAAGTGTCCATTCTTTACTCTTTACCATTATGAAAGTTGTACTTTAAGACTTGTAAATCGTATCACCCCTTATGATTTGGAGCTAAGCCTGGCCAAGGAAGCTATAAAGTTCAACCTTTCCACAGTAGGCTGTTATCTGCCTTCCTAGAGAGGCAGAGAAAAGGAAGTGCAGAAACCATGAATACCCCCTTTGTCTCTCACCTTTGTGACAGTAATAATAATAATAGCCGCAGTAAAATAATCCTGACAATAAAAACATTTCTGTGAAGCTTTATCTCATCTTCGGCCCTGCCAAGTCCTAGTTAGTCCTTGAAGCCTCTCTGTAGCCTTCCGTTAGTTCCATGAAGGAGTAGGAACATGTTTTAGGCAACATTGTATTCCCGTCCTGTAAGCACTGTGCCTCGCACATCCCAGGTGCCCAGTAAGAGTTTGCACAATGGATGTTTGAACAGCTGGGCATATAATCTGATGAGAAGAAAGTTTTGTGGTTCTGACATTCTGTATGACTGTTCTGAATCTATTACTCACTTGCTTTCTTTCACTGATTTATTTATGAACCTCCACTTGGGAGAACAATAGGTAATATCTTAGTTGAATTTTTAATATTTTCAAAACTAAGTCCAACTCCCAAATAAAAGTTTTCAGTAATTGAACACAATTTCTATGTTGTCATTTTAACCTCATTCTGCACAAAAGAATGAGGAGGAAACCAGAAAATTAACACTGCTCTTCTTTTTCATTCATGTATTAAAAGATTGCTCATACCATAAACAGTTATAGTTATCATAGGACCTAGAAATTCTTCATGATTTAGAGCAGAATAAAAAGTATCACAAATTGCTGGTGTCGCTGGGGATGTAATTTGAGTAGCGTCAGAGAAAAATATTTTGAAATAAAAATAAGAAGCTTTGCTAATGCATTGCGTTTTTTTGTTTTGTTTTTGTTTTCGTTTTTGAGTCAGAATCTCATTCTGTTGTACAGGCTGTAGTGCAGTGGCATGCTTATACACATCACAGCCTCGACCTGCTGGGTTCAGGCGATCCTTCCACCCCAGCCTTCCAAGTAGCTGGAACTACAGGTGTACACTACCACACCCGGCTAATTTTTTGATTTATTATAGAGACGAGGTCTCGCCAAGTTGCCCAGGCTGGTCTTGAGCTCCGGGGCTCAGGCAATCCTCTTGCCTCCACCTCCCAAAGTGCTGGGATTACAGGTATGAGCCACTGCACCCAGAAATGCATTGTTTTGATTGTTTTTCTTTTTAAAATGCAGATTATGTGACTTCTCTGGGGAGGCTTGTGGCTTCTCGGTATGCTGATGGCCTATTTCCACAGATCTACAGAGCGGAAGATGGCAGAGTATACAATGTAAGTCAGAGTCCCCTTGATGCACAGATCTGATGACTTGGTGCTGAGGTCACATCAGGGAGTGCACTGTGGGGAAAGGCTTGTGTTGCTTTGCAGTGATGCAGCTGAGCCAACGCTTTATCAAGGTGGGCGTTTTCTTTTGACAGTGGTGGAGTGATGAAAGTCATGGCTAAGGAGCTGGGGACGCAGCTTGACCTGTTAGAGATTAGTGCAGAAAGCTCTTGACCAGAGATGAAAACCTTTGCGTATCAACAATTTGTTTTGCCTTGAGAATAAGGGGGAAATCAATATGACAGAGATTAGAGAAGGAAAGCCAAGAGCAAGCTGCTACTATATGGCAAAAGCACTGAGAATAGGCGACAGGATCTGCAGGTAGAAGAGAGAGAGCAAGCTGCGTCTCTGAGTGGAGTCCTTTGTTCCCAGCAATACAGCACCTGATTTCTGTGCTCCCACTTGTCAGCCTCTGTGCAACCCTTGGTCCACCACATGGAGCTCACAGTCTGTTGGAGACATATGTCCCACCACTTCTGTTTATTATTATTGTTTTCAAGCTACATCCATGAACTACTGGGACTGTTATTTCCTAATGTTTACAAAGTTTAAATTAATTTCTTGTTTTTAAGCGGGATTTATCGAGAGGACAGAAAAGCTTCCACAGTGGGAGGGGACCCGAGGAGGTTGCCCAGTTTAAATCACTTTTTTTTTGTTTTTTGAGCTGGAGTCTCACGCCGACACCCAGGCCGGATGGAGTGCAGTGGCACACTCGGCCACCCCAGCGTTGACCCACTGGGCTCTGGCGATTCTTCAGCCTCAGCCTTCCAAGTAGCTGGAAGCATAAGCATGCACCCCGCCACGCCCAGCTAAGTTTTTGATTTATTGTAGAGATGAGGTCTTGCCAAGTTGCCCAAGCTGTTCTCAAACCCGTGGGCTCAGGCAATCCTCTCACCTCGGCCTCCTATTGTGTTGGGATTATAGGCTGAGCCACCAAGCCCTGTCTTAAATTACTTTTTAAACTAAGCCTCATCCTAAGCAATAATATCCATGGCACATTGAGCTTGGTGTACTAAGTATGTATTTTTTTATCTGAACCATATTAAAATTGATACAGAACTCTTTAAATGTCTGCCCCTTTACCATCTAAGCCCACTTCCACATGCCCTGTGGTCTGGTTTATGTATAGCAGGAGCTGTGAACTCCAGCAAGGGAGTTAGGAATTCTGCCTTAAAGGGCCATTAGGAATCACAGAGAAGTGATGCTGGGGCTTGTGGAATGTGCTTGAGAGACACGTGGAAGGGGAAAGGAGCGTTTAAGGAGCCAAGACACAGAAATGTGGGATTCAGTATGTGTTCTGAAAGCACATTTTCCTTAACCATTGAGGCATCTGGGGTATTCTGGAGGTTTTAAATTTTGTTTGTTTTTTGAGTACCAGATCTTCTTTGAAACTTGATTTGTCACTGAGTTGGGCACATTTTCTCATTTCATTTCTGTCTTCTACCTCCCTGTGCCCTGAAAGGCCTTGCACACTTTTGCCTAATCTGTGCAGAGAATGGTTTATTCATGCATGCAAGAAATTGTCCTCAAGTCTCTGTCACCTCCTGGGGGCAGCTCCTAAGGGTGTAAGTGGCAGCGATGGTTGATCAGGGACAGGGAGCTTAGGCTAAGAGGACAAAATTCATGAGCAGAAGGATGAGTAGCTGGGATGGCATTCCTTGCAGGAAGCCAGGCAGATGTGCTGGCATGTTCAGAGGCATTTTCAGAAATATTTTTGGCATGTTGTTCTTAGGAAACTTTTTAGGGAGACATATTTTTTCATCTACCTTTGATGATCTTTTTCTTCTACCTAATTACCTAAAAGTGCCCCCGGGCAGGCATTTTCTGAGAAAGGTAATCTGTAACTATAAAGATAAAACACAATCTGGGAACCTTTTTTTTTTTTTTTTTTTTTAAGAGGACTGCATTTTGAATAGATCACATCATCATCTTTTCTACTGTGGGAAATCATCCAAGCGTCTTTCAGTTGAAAGATAGGAACACTGTCTCCTGGATTCTGCTGGGTTTAGAAGATCACTTGCAACGTTGTTATTAGTGCACAGTTCTTGATGGCAGCAGTGTGGTTCAGATGACTTATTTTGGTGCTGTTTTATTGTTTTTTGTCTTTTATTTTAAATTTTCATCAAGCTGACAGCTAAATCAGAACTGATCTATCAGTTTGTGGAACACTTAACACAAGCTGTGGAGAGCTACAAGCAGCGGATGGACTGGCTCACCAGCAAAAGCAGGCAGATTTTTGGTGTCATCTTGGAACAGTGTGTCACCATAGTGCTGGATTTTGGCGGCATACTGGAGGGGGAGCTTGATCTGTGCCGAGATGCTCTAATAATGGTCCTCCAGGAGCAGGTGGCTCATATAACCAAGTTCAATATCATACGGTGAGTTCCCATAGGAAGAGAGACTTGCAGTGAAACTTCATAGTAATTTGTACCTATTTGGAGTTAAGTAGCATAGCTAACATAGCTAGCTCTGTGGTGAGGGAGAGGTGTTATCTTATTTCCTAGAGTATACAGTTTCAGCAGAACATCCACAATGAATAAATCTTAGGAAAATTTTATCGGCTTTGCACAGGGCATCTTAGCTTTCACATGAAAAGAGATTTAGGAACATACTTCAATGCATGGGAAGGTTAGAAATATTTGAATATGAATTATGTCGAGTATATATTTAAGGCCATAAATCTCTTCACTCATATTAGATTTTAGCTTGGGTAATGAATTCAAAGGTCATAGATTTCACTGTTTCTCCAGACTGAGTTGACAACTCAAGCTGACCTCCTCTGTAAGTTGACCCCTTCAACCAGAACAACAGGTGGCTGGTTTTACAGAATTTCCCGTATTCAGAGTTTTCACAATCAATTATTTATGGATTCTTGGATTCAAGAAAATTTGGACCTCAGTCCTAACTTCTCATCTGGAACAGTGGTTGCACCTCCCTGACAAGAAACATCTGGATAATGCAGGGATGGGAGGCCTACTTGAGTTTTTCTTTTTTAAATAAAATATTTTCTGCTAAATAGAGAATATCTTTGGGGATGATGCCTAATTCTGTTCTTTCCCAGATTCCTCTTTCTGACACAGATATATTGTTAAAGAAATTAAGTGCTTGAGTCTGCAAAGCTTTTGCTTTCCTAGAAATGTTTGCTATAACATATATGCCACCCAGCCAAATTCTCTACCCAGGGAAGCCACACAGGGCCACAGTGTGAGCCAGATCTGCCTCTGGAGGTGGACTATGGGGGGCAATCAGGCCAATTTATTTGCAGTTATAAACACAGAGACAAATTCAAATGGCTCTTCTTTTGTGGATTTGGAGGTTTCCATCAGTCATTTCCAAGCTCAGATTAAATGGTTTAACCATATTGTCTCAGGTTTTAAACCACTAATGCTCTACTGAACTCAAAACAATATGATTTTTGCTCCCTAAAAAGGTAACTGATGGAAATCTTTCAGAACAATGAAAACAATGCTGTCAAAGAATTAGAAATAAAATTTTTGAGTAATAAAATTGCTGGAGATTTGCAAATCTTAATACTACAAATTCTTATAAATTTGCTATTAATGAAAGATAGTTACATATAACTGTCTATTTATGAAAATAACTTCTCTCATATTCTTTGAAGCACTTTAAATACTTACGTATAAGGTTTTTCTCATGTAAACATTGTTTTTTCTAGTCAGTACAGCTTATGGAAGGTCATGGTACTTTGGGAACCCGCCTTAAACAGCTTGCCCATTTTATCAGTAGCTTGAGGGCTGAGATCTCTTCTTTCTCAGCTCTGGAAATGGATGTTAGGTGGTTTGATGCTCATGGCGATGAGGCCCAGTAGCAGGGTTCAGTGACAACTCTATGTGTGTCCTTTCAGGGTTTCTCAAGAGCCTGTGAAATGGCAGGAAAATGCTACTCGTGTGACCAAACAATCCATAACCACTGCCATCAGCTGGGTTGAGGAACTGACTTTTGAACCCACTGTAAGCGAAGTTAGCCGTCTTGAAGCTCTGCTGGAAGCTGGGAAAGACCCAACTGTAAGTGTGTGATCGTGACTGGCCCTGGGTCACAAAGGTGGCTTCAAGCTTAGCTCTTCACACTCAGTGTCTTCACACTTCCCTTCAGCTGATCTCGGGCCCTTCTCCACAGCATCCCACAGAAATCCCATCTTGATGTTAAAAACTCTGTGAGTCGTAATCCAGTTCACCTCTGAATTTGGAACCAATTGAGAAATAGGGTACAGGCCCCAGATGGGGATCAAAATAGCGACTTTGGTGACTTCAGAGCTGGATCAACCAAAGTAAGACTCAGAATACCTGTCCCTTGAGCCTGGCTAGGCTCCATCTATGGGGTGATCGAGGCCTCAGGGAAGACACTCATTTAGCCAGTGCCAGGAAGGCCAAGTGCTACTCACATCCACTGAGTATCGGGAAAGAACAGGGAGTGAGGTCATAGTTGTGCATCTCTGATGTGTTCATTCCACTCTTGCCCTCCTGCCAGTTAGAGTAGTCATTCCATCTCTTATGGAGAGGAGAGACAGGTTAGAAGACTCCTCATAGAACCCTGAGGGTGAGAGAATAAGGTTGCCTCAGCATCCATGCTCTGAATCTTTCCTAGTTCTTTGCACTTTCCAAGGTGAAGTATATCCAAGCTGATGAGTCCATCCATTTTGGGATGCTATCATGCTGAGATATGCATTTTGATAGAGACTTTTTGGAGATAAAGCTTTACCTGGGAAAAGTGATTGAATGGTGGTGTTTTATGTCTCTTTCAGCGACTGGATCTGTGTCTCTGTGAGTGACCCTAGTGATGGGACTGTTAGGGGCTGTGGCAAGCTAGTGGGAACGAACTCTGGGTATGGATGAGGTCCTTCGGCCAGACTCAACTCCCGGGGTGAGGGCAGGTCTACTTGCCTTGGGAATGCAGATTCTTAATACTTGCTTCCTCCACTCTGAAAGTTTGGGGTTTCTGTAGGGTTCAAGGTTTACCCAGCTGCATTCAGAACTGCTTTCTTAGAGAAAGAGGCCAAATGCTGGCACCTTGAAAGATAGCTCCTAATGTTACTGGCCTGTATCAATCCAGAGGGTGAGGGCTTGAAATTGGAAACACATTGTTTTTCCTCCTGAAGCCTAAGGAACAAATGTTTTCCATTAAGGAAGAACCAGATACAAACTGCTTTGTTCTTTGGCCTTTTAAGTTTGTTTCAACATCTGTAACATTTCATGTGTTTGGACACCTTAATGAGCAGCCAAGAAATGAAACATTTCACAGGCTGTTGGGCATGTGTGCATGTGTGTGTGTTCATGGTTGCTCTTTTTGTCTGCGAACTTGGCAATTGTGGTCCTAGCTGACCCTGGCCACCTGATGTGACTGCAAGATCTCTCTGTGACTTTGCTTTTCTGTTTCAGTTCCGTCTGACTTGTGCCTCTCCTTTTTCTGAAGTTCATTGCCAGCCCAGGAAATAAGGAACAATTCAGTGAGTTTTAGGTGTCCTATGGAAGAGAACCAAGAAAGATGCTCCCAGACACTGGTCATCAAATGTAACCTGAACGCTCTTTCTTTTAGTAAAATGGTATTTTTTAGTGGATTTTGTAATCAGTATATAATTATATATTTAAATTTTATCTTATATACATAAGATCACAGCCAAGGAGGTTAACCACAGTTTCAAGTTTTATCACCAGTTACTTTTGCTATTTTATCACATTGAAAAATATTCCCTCTTACTAATTACCTCAAACAGTGACCTATAAATTTGTTTAGACAATAATAATTAAGGGTCTCTTCTCTTGTCAGAATAATTTTAAAAATTAAATGCGTATTGAAGATACTACTGAAGAAACTTTTGGTGATAGCCTCTGCCTTGAAAATCTATAGGGATTTTTCTAATTCATTTTCAAATCACCTCACAACCTCTCTGCTCAAAGAAACCACATCTTTGAAGTCATTTGTGTGAACACTTTACAAGTCAAAAACTGATTACAAGACCCTACTGCCATCATCACTAATTTTAACAAGTCCCCTAAATATATTCTCTCAGTTTTCTTAATTATAAGATGTCAATAATATGGACACACTTTTAATATAACAGAATATTTCATGACATCAGTTTCCCATCAAAAGTCATTTAATGATTATATTGGCTATTTCCATTAACTGGCAGGTGGCTCTGCCACTAACAGCTCCCAAGGTTTCCATTGCATCATTTTTCTCGCCAGACTTAGTTCATTTTCAGCCTGAAGAATCCCCTCTTCTATTTGGCCACCCTGAAGTTGGTCTTCTAATTTCTTAACATCTGGTTCTGCTTTAACCATAGCCAGCTTCTCATTTGTAGTCTGTTCTGTATACTTTCTATAGGCGGCATTTTTAGGGGTTTGCTCAAGAACATCAAGAATTGTTGTGTACAATATTCTTAGCCTCTCGAGTGGAGTGTCACACACAGCCAATCCCACGAGGCCAGTGGTCTTCTTCAGAACCCCCAACACAATAGCACCGACAAGCCGAGGACATGCAGCCCTCTCCTGAATGCTCTTGAGAAGAGCCTGTATAGTGCAGCACATGCAAAGCACACCCAGACTGCTTTGTCCCTCCACCTATAGTCTCTGTCCAGGGGTGTTCCCAAGGAACATTCTAGTAAATGCAACTGCCTCGTATATTAAAATACCATACCCTATGTTTTATGAGACCTAAAAAAAGAAGAAAGCATGTGTGTGTGTGTGTGTGTGTGTGTGTGTGTGTGTGTGTGCGCGCAAGTGTGTGTTGGGGAGTGTGAATGGATTCCCATAAGGCCTGGTCCTCTGCTCTGTGTCCCTCATATTCACACCAGTGAGTTCCAGATTCATCCAGATAGCTACAGTTGATATGAAGAGAAGAGATTGAAGACTTAAGACATTTTTAACAGTAAATATAACATCCAGACTTTTCCTACTGATGATAATCTGCTTTGGGTAAGCATCTCCCTCCATGAGTGGGTCTTGAGAAAAACCCAGAAAGTGGGTATTGTCTCGTGTCCAAAAGTTAACACACAAGTCCAGTTTTTGCATCAGGTCCTTATGAGAAAGGGTTGAGTGATATGCTTAGTTATGGTGAAGGAGGACGCCCAGAGGCTGCTGGCCTCCTCCCGTGCCAGGCTTTGTAACCAAGGTGTGCCAGGAAGACTGAACAGCGAGAGATGCCAGAGGTGAGTCTTTGAGTCTAAGGGGAACCCGGGCAGGGTGTGGGATCTGTTTAAATCCTGGCTGTACTTGAAGATCACTATGGATGGAAGTGTTGCTATCATATCCTCTGAAACAGAACCTGGTTCATGGGAAGGGCAGCATGTGGGTACTGAGGAAGTGTCTGTGGTTGAGAAGTGTTGGCTTTCTAGAGCCCAGGTGTGTTGACCAGCACAAGATCTCTGCTCTTCAGTAGCTCTGGTCCAGGACATATGTCTTTTGGAGGTTATTAGCTCCCCGGGTCTTACTAGGAGGGGTGGTGTGGTTCTAAGCTGCCTAAGAAGGCTCACAGCAGAACTTTGCTTGCCTTCCAGAACATGGCCACCTGCCAAAGACACCTGTATTTCTGTTTTTGTTCTCTAGACCTCTTTTCCATCCACCTGTAGGCATATATCTCTTTAGTTTTTGTTTCTTTTAATCATATTCACTGGGATGTCAAGTGAGTGAATTAAAGACAGACACACATGATTCCATACGGAGCCTGACTGTTAGCTGGGGTCCTGACCACATCAACCCATGAACCTGGCAGTTCATTTATTTCTTTATAGTGATTCAGACGGGCACCAAATCTTCATTTTTGCATTTCTGATGCTTAACAAGGGGTCTATTAATGTTTGCTGAACACCGAAGGAATGGAAAGGAAATAATGTTGCCATTCTTGAGTTTGGGGGCTAGATGTGGGCCCAAGAGATTCCTCTCCCCAACCCATGGCACAGATTTTAATTTTTTTGAATTGAAGGGAGGTGGTCTGGGTGAGACCAGGCAGGTGAGTTTGCTGAGCCTTGTAGGACTATAGTGGGGATGCTGGGTGGGGACTGGGACTCTGAAGCCTGGGTGACCAGGATGTCTGTGTCAAGGATCTTAGGAGGGATCTGAGACATGAAGTAGTGGGGAATGGTCACCACAATAGAGGGAATAAGAAGATCAAGTGGGCCAAACCAGGAGAGGGCTGCCACAGGTACAGGGGATTTGGAGGTTACATCCAAGGTCCTGAGTTGGCCAAAAACGCTGGAGTTCAAAGTTGCATGAAGAACAAGACACTATTTTGCTAGATCTCTCACTGCTGTTCTGGCTGACTTTCTACTCCTTGAAGAGTGGAGATTTTTATACCTAGAGGCCTTGGGGAGAACACAGGTTCGAGAGCCAGAGCAGAGGGAAATCAGTAGGAGGAGGCATTCCCAGTCTCTGTTTCTTTTTCTCCTCAAAGCTGCAGCCAGGAAGATGTCAAGGACTCCTTGGTGGGGGAGAATGCAGGTTACCACATGAAGCTGCAGAATGAATGGCCCAGATAAGATCAGACATTTCAAACATGAAGGGCCCATATTACTTTGTGCACTATGAAGTGGCAAGAGCTTTTGACTCTCAAGAAGCTGAATGGAACCTGTGTGTCTTTTTTTTTTCTTTTTAAATCAAATCTAGTGTCAATCAGCCCGTAGGGAAACGCTGGCGAATGAGAAGGCTACTCCTGGTCTGGGTGTGGCTACTCATCCTCAAGACTGGCCCTTGCCCTCAAAGAGTCAGATACTTGCTAAGGATGTGGATTCTCATGGGGATAACTCTCTTAAGCCATACAATCTCCTGTGCCCCACTTTTACTCAGTGGAGTTGATGCCAGGGGGTAGGAGTCTGAACCCTTGGGTGATGAGAGAGCCGTGGAGGTGAAAACAGTATCTGTCTGTGGCCACCTTCTTCGTGCCATGATCTTGCTTTCCCAGCTTGCGGACTCACATTCATCTCTGGGACTCAAATCCATCTCATGGCAGTGGACAGCAAGGGTGGAAACTCATGGGGTCAGGCAGCCTAGGCTTTCTAGCTCCAAGATCAAATCAATTATCCTTTCCAAGTCTCAGTTTCTTCTTCTGTAAACTGGGCATGATAACAATAATTCATACTCCACAGGACTGTTGTGAGTATGGGATGGAATAATTCCTTTCAGCTTATCATCTCAAAGAGCCACTAACCCTAAAGCTGCTCTACTTTAAGAGGCATTTTGCCAATTTAGAAGAAGATGGGAACAGGTAGCATATTTACCATCTTCTCTGTTTTTCTAAATGTCATTATGTAAACAGAAAGGCAGTGTGCAGGAGGTGGGGGGATAGGTGGTCTCAATGTAAAGCTTGTACCAGGCAATCTGTAACACAGATAACTGAGAGGTGACTGAAAACATTTGCAATTAAGAAGCCGAGTAGTGAACTTAATGAATAGTGAATAATTCCATAGCCTTAGTAAAGGAAAGGAAATCCTGACTCACTTTTGGTTATAGCAATTTCTAGTTTGATGAAATCTCAAGGGAAAAACATTTCTTCACATGGATTCCAGGTCCTTGGGTTATTGCCAGAGCAAAGGAGTTGAGATTACATGATGTGTCACAGCGAAGGAGGTGTGTCAGGCACTGCTGACAGATCACCTGGAGATGAATGTCCTCACCTCCCCATTGAGCTAACAAGACCTAGAAAATACACTGTGTCTGCTCCACTGTCTTGGACCATGTGTCATTTTAGATCTTTGTGACAGGATAAGCTTGTCCCCATGCTAAACCTGGGTACTGATGCATCTGGGAAATTCTAACAAGTAACAGTGCAGCTAAGTGGAACCTTTTAAATATGTCTTACACAAGGTCATATACAACACCGGGAAAGGAATGGAATAGAACACATTTGCTGGAAGAACAATGTTAGTTGCCTAATAAGCCTAATAAGTTGCCTAATAAGTAATCTGGAAAACATTGTTTCTTCCTTCTTTCCATGTTTCTTCCACCTTCCAGGTTACTGACTGAAATAAATTTACAGCATTCCTCAGTCTCACCTCCCAACTAAATCCTGACTTGTGCCCCATGTATTTATAGTAAATATAGTTAAAAAAATAAAACCAGAGAGTTGATGTTGAAAGGTCTGAGACAGAGAGACCTGAGGAGGGGGCAGAAGGGGTGTTGCTGAGTAGCCTGTCTCAGCTCTCCCTCTGGTCTTCTAATTCAAGCCTGGGTCCTCACCCCCACCCCCATCTTCCTTCTTAGGCACACAGCCTGCCCTGTCTGCTGCAGGCAAAACACCCTAATCAACTGGGAACCAACTATGAGGCCACCCTCTTCTCAGCCAGGTGAATTTAAAGCCCAGGTTTGACATTGAGGTAGAGTCATTTATTGACTATCTTCAGTTCATGGGGGTTTGGCATCAGAACAAGAAGAGGGTCATGAATCCTAAAGGGATAATGACATCTATTTATTCACTAAAACACATTTGCTGGGGTTTCTTCCCCAGTCATCTGTGGACACAATATATCAGGACATTTTTAGGGGCAGGCTAAGAGGATATGTATTCCTGGCTCTCCTTGTTCTTATTGCTTTCTGAGATTTATATAAATACACACACATAAGTGAAAGTCATTTTGCTTAAACTCACTCATGAAGAATAAACCGCATTCTCCCTCTTTTTACAAGTGAAAAACTGAAGTCAGAGCATTCACCCGAGGTTACAGAGCTCATTCGTGGCAGGGGAGATAAACACCCCAGAAACACAATACTAGGAAAGAACAAGAGTGGTGGGGTTGAGGTAAGGGTGGGAGTGACAGTTGCCACAGGGGCCCTCTTGGGTGAGTTTTCTAGCTTTCTAAATTCAGCAAGAAGCACTTCTTTGGGATCGTTTGCTACCTGGGTGAGGTGTGCATCTCCCAGAATCACTGGTTTGAGATTGTGTGTTTGTGTGTGCGTGTGTGTGTGTGTGTGCGTGCGCTCGTGAGGGATTGCTCGTTTTCCCATTCTTATGTTCTGGTATGGCAGAGAAAGGCAAGGTCCAGTAGGGAGAAATGGTCATGGGCTAGGTCCTGGCTGTGTAGGACTTGGTCCCTGACCATTTCTCCAGGATGTGAGTCTCTGACGAGATGAGGCCAGAGGATAAACCAACTGGTCATGTGTCTTCCTTTCCACATTCTGCCACAGACTAAGGAGATGTGAGTTTGCATTGTAGAATTCTGGTACCATCATGGGAAATAGCTAAAAAGCTTCCTGTTTACAGTGGCTGTGCCAATATCTCTTTCATTTCTTGACTTGAAAATAGCCTCTCCTAACCTGTGTATTGTATCCGTGAGCTCAGGGGAAACTGTTTGCCATATCTGCCAACTATATTCTTCTCATGCAATACTCAAGACTGTAGCCACTGCCAACAGAGTTTTCAGCACCAGATCTTCAATATCTCACTTCTTGACTTTGACCCTGATATCCTTCCAAAACACTGAGCAGTACTGCTCTTCTTGCTGCTTTCCCTGTACCTTCTTCTTTTTGTTTTTCAAGAGATAGTTTTATAGAAAGTGCGTTGCCAATGGGTCCAGCACAAGGCTAGGGCATGACAGGAAGATCAATCATTCTTATCACTGTTTTGCAGATTGAATCCATTTACTACTTTGTGGTGGGGGATATTCCTGAAGAATCCAAGGAGATTCTCCTCCAGAGGGCTATGGAGATCCCATATCCAGTCTACACAGTGTCCTTCAATGCCAGAGGAGAAGGCACTATAACTTTTCTAAAGCACCTGAGTGCCAAGACCCACAGCAGGTAGGCAGAAAATGTGCTCTTGAGTGACAGCAAGTGGGCTGCCTGCTTACACAGGATCAGCAGGAAGTCTTGGATTCTTTGTGTCTTCTTAACCGATCTATTGTGTTTGTACCCTCTTTCCAGCGTAGTCTTTAGTCTCTATGCACCTTTTCTTTTCAATCCTATATTCATCATGCCTTTTTATTTTCTGTAATTCTGATTTCTTGATATCTTGGGGCCTTGCTGGTCCAGGCTAGCCAATTCCTAGAGTCAGTAAGTGACTCAATGGGATGCACAATCATATGCAAACCAACCAATCCAGGTTGTCACACTCAGGACCGCTGTCCTCTACCCTAATCACCCAGGGCCAGGTACCAGACAACTTGGGACAGCTCCTACTCCAGAGCTCACTGAAATTATTCAAATTAGCCAATTCTAAGCCTCCTTACCTTCCCTTGCCTGTTCCTTCCCTTGGAAATCACAATACTTATTCTCATCCACCTTTTTATCTCATTCCCTCTGCTTCCTGGTTGGCCCTGATGCTTCCCTGTGTAACCCTGCATGGCTTGGCATGCTCCTCCTCTTGGAACTATACTAGGCTGCTGGGGCCGCCATAATAAATTACCACAGGCTAGGTGGCTTAAACCATAGGCATTTATTTCTTACACTTCTAGAGACTGGGAAGTATAAGATCAAGGTCAGTATGGTTTTGCTGAGGGCCTTTCCTGCCTTGTAGGCAGCTGTCTCTTCATAGTGTCCTCACATGGTGGTGGGGGGGAGAGATTGGGCTCTCTGGTGTTTCTTCCTCTTTTCATAGAGTCACTAATCCTCTTCGAGTAGGGCTTTACCCTTATGACCTCTTTTAATTTATCTCCTTATAGGCTCTGACTCCAAATACAGTCACACAGGGAATTAATACTTCAACATATGAATTGTTTTGGGGAAAGTGAGAAGGATACAATTCAGCCCATAGCAGGAACTGTAACAAACTATTTTTTCAATGGCAATAATCTTCTGATCTTTCGGTACCTGAATAATAATAATAAAGCCTACATTTTAAAACCTATGCCCCTCCCTTGGTCTGTGTGTATGTGCAAGTTTAAATACCTTGTGGAGAAAGACCAGCTACTTCTGTGGTTACAAGAATAATTTCAAAGTCCCTTCCTAAGTTAGCCTGTCTGAAATGGGTATTATGTCCTCACAGAGCACTCGTTTGTTTTTTTGTTTTGTTTTTTTTTGTTGCTGTTGTTTTGAGTTGGAGTCTCACTCTGTCGCCCAGACTGGAGTGCAGTGGCCACTCCCG